ATCTATTTTGTTTGTCAGTTTATTTTGTTGATTAGATTCCACATATTTGTGAGATCATGTGATACTTGTCTTTCTCTGACTGGTTTATTTCATTTAGCATAATACTCTCCAGGTCCCTCCAGGATGTCTCAAAGGGTAAGAGATCCTTCTATTTTACAGCTGCATAATATTCCATGGTGTAAATGTACCACAGCTTTTTTTATCCACTCATCTACTGATGAACACTTGGGCTGTTTCCAGAACTTAGCTATTGTAAATAGAGCTACTATGAACATAGGGGTGCATATATTCTTTCTGATTGGTGTTTCAGGATTCTTAGGATATATTCCTGGAAGTAGGAAAGATATACTTTTAAATGGAAATTTCCTATATGCATGTAAGTTTTCTTTACAAAAGGAGACATTTATATTCTACTTTTAGGCAGTAAAGTGGGGTAAAGAGAACCAGGTTCTCAATTACTCAAAATAATCCACATGTCCTAGAGGTATATTTTAGGGTGACATATTCTGGTACCCTTCAGGCACATCTACCTAATTCTTCAAACTATAATCAAAGATCCATCCTGGGTCCCAGAGTCTCATCTATATATATAAAACCCTAAGCGACTGGTCAACCATTCGACCAGGTGACCGTTTGACTGGTTGCTATGACATGCACTGACCACCAGGGGGCAGATGCTCAACATGGGAGCTGCCCCCTAGTGGTCAGTGCACTCCCACAGCGGGAGCACCACTTAGTTGACGGGCTCCAGACACCTGGCTCACGGCTGGCAAGAGCCTCTCCTGCCTCCGCAGCAGGGCTACCCAGTGGCAGCGGCAGGCACAGCAGGGCTGAAATGAGCGGGAGCAGAACGGTGCCTGGCCTGGGCTCGGGCTCCTCACCAGCAGCCTGTGGCATCACAACTACTACATCCCCCGAGGGGTACTGGATTGTGAGAGGGCGCAGGCCAGGCTGAGGGACCCCACCGGTGCATGAATCTGTGCACCGGGCCTCTAGTGTTCTATAATCTATAATGCCAACATTCAGAATTTTAAATTACTACTCTTTTTTTTCAAATTTTCACATATATCTTCACTTGAAAATCAGAACTAAACATTTCAATAACTACCCACAAGTTTAAACTGCAATACTGGTTTCTTCCTCTTGTGCAGTTTCGGTAGAACCCGCAAACTGAATGATAAAGGATGCATCTGGAACATCTTCCTTTGCCCACACTCTTCCTGGAGTTTGCTTTAGAAATAGAAGGTTGGAAACACAATAGGTGAGGTGGTTAAGCATTTTTTATTTTGTCATCTAAGTTGTTTTTAAAAAGTGTGCTCAGACCCGGCTGGCGTGGCTCAGTGGTTGAGCGTAGACTTATGAACCAGGAGTTCACGGTTCGATTCCCGGTCAGGGCACATGCCTGGGTTACAGGCTCAACATTTTTTATTTTGTCATCTAAGTTGTTTTTTAAAAATGTGCTCAGACCCGGCTGGCGTGGTTCAGTGGTTGAGCATAGACTTATGAACCAGGAGTTCACGGTTCGATTCCCGGTCAGGGCACATGCCTGGGTTGCAGGCTCAATCCCCAGTATGGAGTGTGCAGAAGGCAGCTGATCAATGATTCTCTCTCATTGTTGATGTTTCTATCGCTCTGTTCATTCCTCTCTGAAATCAATAAAAATATTTTTAAAAAAGCGTGCTCAGTAATGTTATAGCAGCCTCGGAATACATACAGACATATTCAGTCTCATAGACTTCCTTTCCATAATTCAGAAAATGTTGATAATTTTAATAATTATGTTAGTTTCCTTTTCACCATTCAGTGAAGCTACTCTGCCTAATGCCACCCATGCCATTTGTGTGTGTGTGTGTGTGTGTGTGTGTGTGTTGCTAAAAACAAAATCAACCAAATAAATCTAATGATCTAATTGGCAATATTAAGCAATTCATGAGTGGGGCAGGATCCCATCTGCAACTAGAAGGGCTCTCTAAGGGGTTGTACACAATGAAAGGTTTTTGTAGGAAGAAGGGTGGAGCAAGGGAACTATTAACAAATGAAAATAAATGATTATTTTTAGACCAGGACATCTTTTGTTGGGGTGGTTCCAGAGGAAAAGCAAAGGTTTTGTCATACAGATTGCTTCTTTCTTTGGGGGATAGAGAGGGCCCATGGGACAGATTACCTCATTGGTATTGACCAGAAATTTTCAGACTGCTGGATTAAGATTATGTTTCTGGGAAGGACTGAAAGATCAGTTAAGGTTAAATATTAAAAATTTAGTGTTGGTATAATGGGCTTTAGCCCAAGTGACTCCATTTTAGGCCAGTGGTTTTCTCTATCAGTGTATTTAAAGTAATGCATTTACTATTATTTTTTCTTTCATTTACTTGTATCTTTGACTCTTTTTTGAAAACTTTCATAATTATCCTCATTCCTTTATCCTTGTAGCTCTTAATAATTTGCTCTTGCAGATGAACTTCTAAATTTTATCATTTTTCTTTCCTGGAATAAATTCTTTAATTCACCCTTTCTGATGATGGTAATTTTATTCATCTTTACAAAATATGTTGAAGGCATAGGATGTAGTAGTAACTGTGCTAGGCGCTAGAGATATAGTGATAGACACAGAAATGGTCTCTGACATCCAGATTGCAAGGACAGAAGTAGTTAAGCAGTGCATACAATGCAGTGTGATGGTGAGAGGAGAAGTTCTGTGTTGTTAAGGGACATCTGGAAAGTACAAAGAAGAGACTGTGGGAGGAGCTAACTTTCCCCTACCCTTAAGGTTCTTCTGGCTGGTCTAATACTCAAAGAGACACGAGACAGATTAGCAAGAGAAAATAACCAAATTTCATTCATACATATGTATGGCAAACCCTCATACCTGAGACAGTCAAAGACCCTGCATGCAGGAGAGATTTAGTGATAAAAAGGGGTATCAGGTATATAAGATATTCTGAGCCAGGAATGAGGTAATGCACCTTAGGGGCTCAAAGGGTCATTGCAGGATGGTCAGAAGAACAGATGTTTAGTAAATAAAAGTTTGCCCTGCCATGTAGGTAGGTCAAAAGTTATCAGTGATCATCTCTGATGGCCAAGGCCTCTAATTCAAATTCTTCTAGGCAGTTCAGGGTGGGGGACATAAATTTCCCTTGATCCTGCAGCTCAAGTTGCCTTTAGCTCAAGACAATCTACATACCACAGAAGCACATCTTGGGGTGACTCATTCTGGGTCCCACAAAACCTCAACCACGAGGAGGATCAAGAAGATTCCTTGCATATGAATTAGGCAAAGGGCAAGTGATGAAGGAACCAGTTTTCCAGGCATTAAAGGCCAGAGAGAGACAGATGGGGGGCGGGCAGGGGGGCAATGACACAAGGGAACTGGAGGGGAAAGCAGGGGGGAGGAAGAGAGAGAGAGAGAAGGTACTTTATTAGTATTGAAACTGTTTCAGTATAGCTGAATGTCTGTTCAGCAACACAAACTTTTGAGGTTTCTGGTGTTTATATTTTTACATTTTTCTTTGGCTCAGATATAGAACTCTTCTACTTTCATAATGACTTCCTACATGCCATAATTCAGTTGTTAGATAATGGGAGCTTTATAGGTGTTACTTTATAGGTGCCCAGGCCAGATATGTAAATCCATTAGCGAGTTTGTCATAATGAGTGAGGATTGGTATGTGTGTTTCTCCTCTTATGGGGAAGTCAAAATGTGTTTATTATAATGTTGTATTGGCAAACATTCAATTTCAGGCTACTTTTGGTGACCCGTGTAGCACGGTATATAAGTTACATCATGCAATTGTACTAGGCAAAGGAGTATGCTAGTTTGAAATGAACCACAACTATCGTTTTAAATCAGAGATTTGTGATACTAAAATGATTGAATGAACCTTAGATAATAAATGGCCCAGCTCCCTCATTGAACAGATGGGGAAACTGAGACACAGAGAGGTAATGAAAGGGAGAACTCTAAATGAACTCTGATGAGAATCTGCTAATGTCATGTTTGTTTTCATTTCTTATACTTTTGAGAAAACTTGTCTAGGTGTTTGCCCTTTTTATTGTTGACATAACTTATGTAGTCCGTCTTTCATTAATAAGCTAGCAAATGTGGTATGCAGATTTTTTCCAAATTGAAAATAAAAGAACTATTAAAAGAGGAGATATTTGCGCCT